TGTAGATTTAGAGATTTGTAGATTTTTCTCATGTTAACCCTTACAGTATTTTTGTTTACATTTGTTTTCATTTTAACCATGCTGGTCTGTGTGGCTATTCTTTTTTCTATTATATGAAATGGCTGCAGCGTTAGGAAAATAAAACTTTTCCTTTCAGGAAGAAGCTGTTGTCTACAAGCTTATGTTATTCTCCATTCTGTTGGTATTAAAACGAAAGCACCATCTCCAGGGCCTTTGGCCTTCATTTTGTTGAGTACTGCAATATGGTAGCTAATCTCTCCATCTCCACTAACTTGAGTGCATTCAGCGAATATTGTGCTTTGTGTTATTCCACATAGTGCGGGGCTTATAGGCCCTGAAAGCAGCGGTCAGACAAGAGTTAAGAGGTTTTTGAATGTGTGCTTTCAAGGCTTTTGTTCTGGTTTGGTTCCAGTGTGACCTTAACCTTGCTGCTTTATAGCTGGTCCTTATAAGCTTTGACCCTGTCTGGATTTTGCATTTGGTATGATTATCATATCCTCTGATAAGTACCAAACATATGGTCTGTAACAGCTGAGAACCATGGAGTGCTTGCAGCAGAAGGGAAATGAAAATAATAGTTTGGAATTGCAAATAAATCAAGGTGCCAGATGATTAAACTTAATTTATCCACATGCACATAAAATGTTAAACTGGTAAAAATTGATGACACTAAGCTCAACACCTGTGTGAATAAATAGTGTGGAAAGTATTTTTGTTAGGCATATGTTAGCAATATGCACCAGCGTCACCAAACACACTTGTTTAATCTGTAAATGCTTTGAATGTTGATTTCAGGGTCTTCCTGCAAAGGAATTACACATTAAACTTGCTCCTCTGTTTTTGGTTTTCAAGGTTCAACCGGCTGTCTGTGGACTCCATAGATGAGAGCTCTTTCTCACACCTCGTCAACTTGCAAGTGCTGGACTTCGGGACAGGAAACCCTGAGCTGTCCTTCAAAAAGGAGGAGGAGGAAGGTGCCGAGGAGATTGAACAGGACAACTAAAATGGCTGCATGTTGCAGAGGACAGAGCAGGCTTTCAGAAGGGACAGAACCTTTTTTATATCTCCATCCTAACGTCATTCTGAGATGCACAGCCACATAATTCTGGTGCAGGACACCAGATTAAAATCCACTTTATGGAGCAGGTGGTATTAGAAATGTTTTAAGCAGAACTTTATTATTTGGGCTTGATTGTTCAAATGCGGTCTGTGTTTTTGTTCTTTTAAAAAGAAACTCATAAATTTCTGAAACATAATGTGTATTTTCCAACAACAGTAATCTATGTCTAAATCTAAAAACTTTGGTGGTTTTAGATCAAATTTAGCAGTGGAGTTCTAAGGTTGGGCCAGTGCTTTCATAGCGACACAGAACGAAAGAATAAAACAAAAATCAGAGGAATGGTACATCGTTTGAGATATTGAGTGAACCAAAGCGCCACTTGCAGCTCGGAAAACCTTAAATATAGCCGATGGAACCTGTGATTATATCTCTCTACGACTAAAGCTAAAAGTACAGCTTAATTTTGACATCTTCAGTTAAATAAAACTGTAAAATTAAAAACTGGTCTAAGGGACCTATCCTATGCCGTTTATGTGCCAGCGCATATCATCAATTATTTCCCATGAATTTATTTAGAATTAAGGGCCAGGACAAGTTCAAGAGCAACATTGGCCCCCGTTGGCTCCAGTCTAGACAGAAGAAGAGACGTTATTACCATGCAACTTGTGCACACTCATAATAAATATACATTTTAATATACAGCTTTATTTAAAACACACATGTAAACAACTCCCGAAGCATACTTTGAATCTATAGTACCGTTAGCAAAGCATCTTTGAACAAACAGCTAATCTCTTCAATAGTAAATTTCTGACTTCATATCCAGCAGCCATCTCTTTCATCAACTGGCAACTTTATAAAAGCTACGGTCACTAGATGTCCCCAATTTCTGGGCACAGGTGGTCCAAACTGGGACTTTCCCCAGAAATAGGGGACGTCTGGTCACCGATTTGACCATTTTATGAATCAGGTGGAAAATGTTGCGTGTAGACTGTTATTACTGTAGAAAGAGAGTGTTGCACACAGAGAAACTGTTACGGTAGCATGTTGCGCTGCTGTTAACGTAAAGGAACACGAGGAATAGAGTGCACTGCTTTTAAAACAGAGGAGGAAGAAGGAGCTCATAGGGAGCTGTGCTATGTTATGGTGAATGTTTTATTCCATTCATTTTATATGGATTGGGCGGATCATTGTGATAAATATTTGATTCAAACCCAGGTAAAAAAAAAATAAAATAAAAAATAGGGCTTCAATATGTTAAAGATGAGGGGTCTGTTTACTGAACCTGCTTTTTCCTGAGTGGATATTAGAGTGGATTAAATTATTGACAGCAGCAGTTGTGAAACTAAAAACTCAGAGTTACTGATCTTAGGCTAGATCGTTTTGAGTTGAGGATTTGAATCTGAGTTTTTTTAAACCTGACTCATGAAACGGATCTCAGCTGCTGCTGAATATAGCTGATATATCGCCACTCGCACAGACACATTAGAGACTGGATCATTGCACACTGCAGGCGCAGTCTGAGCGGCCATCTGCCGAGGATTAGGAAACTGGCCGATTCTTGACCCAGTTTTCTAATCTTACCTTGATATTCTTGTTACCGTATTTTCACGACTATAAGGCGCAC